ATAATGAAAGGCTGTTTGTAAAATCTTCTGGACAATAATGTTGTAAATTCTAAAAATAAATATAAAGCAATTACAGAAAAATTTTATGAATTGATGGTTTTATGATAGGCCCACAGGTGTTTGTTAAATTATTTTTGGTATTTTTCTGTATATTTGAAATAGTTAATAATTAAAAATTTAAATAAACATATTGGACATGGTTAAAGTATTATTCAGACAAAAATTAAGAGCTTTAAATATACTTATTATAACATTAAAATATCAAGAGTGGAAAATAAGAAAGAAAACAAACGAGTTAAGTGTTTATCAGAAGCTAATAAAAAGATAATCCAAATAATGGGGGAAATGGAAATATAAAGATAAGAACAAATCAATAAAATAGTGCACAAAAATCAATATGAAGATTAACAAAGCAAAAATTAGTTCTTTGAAGAGATTAATAAGATAGCAAACCTTTGATAAGACTGAATAAGATAAATCAGAAAAAGAATAAGTAAAACATATACTGAAAATGATATCTACAAACAAGTAACTTTTAAAATAGTTTTTAAAATTATGAACAAACATGTAACAATACATTGGAAATTGATTAGAAAGTGGATTAATTTAGGCGGGGTGTGGTGGCTGACACCTGTAATCCCAGCACTTTGGGAGGCTGAGGCGGGTGTATCACCCAGGAGGTCAGGACATTGAGACCGTCCTGGCCAACATGGTGAAACCTCATCTCTACTAAAAAAAAAAATAAATAAATAAATAAAATAAAGCTGGGTGTGGTGATGTGTGCCTGTAATCCCAGCTACTCGGGAGGCTGAGGCATGAAAATTGCTTGAATCCCAGAGGCAGAGGTTGCAGTGAGCTGAGATCATGCCACTGCACTCCAGCCTGGTGACAGAGTGAGACTCTGTCTTAAAAAAAAAAAAGAAAAAGAAAGAAAAGAAAATAGATTAATTTATATAAAGGATATATATAAAATATTTAAATGGATGGAAGAATAAATGGAAAACTTGAATAGAGTGTACAAGTTAAAGATATTGAAGTGGTAATAAAATGGCTCCTCCAGCAAAACCCTTGGGGAAAGGATAGGGAACCCAAGAAAGGAATAAACAGGCAATGAATATAAAAAGATAATTCACCGAAGAAAATCTGAGTGGCTATGAAATGATCCTAGTGGAGAAATGCAACTTCAAACAAGATCCCACCTTTTACCTATTAGATTGGCTAAAATTAGGAAAATGAAAAGTACCAAAGTGCCCCCAAATAAGGACTGTTGTTTCTAGTGTGGATCAGACCCCATTCCTGCACCTCTGCTCCAGTGCATCTCAGAAAATCCATTCCCTGTCTCCCTCCCTCCCTCCCTTCCTTCCCTTTTTTCCTTCTTCCTTTCCTTCCTTTCTCCTTTTCTTATTATATTTTCTTTTTCTCTTTTTGTTATTTTAGATTGACATAGACATAAAATACATATATCACAAGTGTACAACTTGATGAATTTTCACTAAATGAACTCCTGAAACCATCACCATCAAGAAATAGAATGCTTCTTGTACATGAGAAGTCCCATTATGCCTCTCCCATTGTGAATCACCATGCCTAGCCTATTTTACTTTTATTTTTGAAGAACGTTCAAAATGATTGCATAATTCTAGATTGGCAGTTAATTTCTTTCAGCATTTTAAAGATGTTTTATTGTCTTCTACCGTTCACCGTTTCTGTTACCCATACTTTTGTTTCTTTGAAGTTAATGTGCCTTTCTTTTCTCTCACTGCTTTTAAGAGTTTTGTTCTGTCTTTGGTGTTTAGTTTCATTATGATGGGCCTAGGTGTGTGTTTTCTTTGATATTTTCCTATTTTGAGTTGTAGTACTTCCTAAATATGTGGTTTGATGTTCATTGTCAATACATGATATTCGTTGCTGATAATCTCTTCTAATATTACTTCTGCCTAATTCCTTGTTTTTCCTTCTGATCTCATTTATGGATGTTGGCTTTGAGAGAATCAATATGTCCAAAAAAATAGGAAACATGGTGGAGAATTTTGATGGAGAACTGGAATATATATAAGAAAATCAAATTCAAAGTAACTGAAATTTAGAATACAATAGTGGATTGAATAGCAGAGCAGAGACAGTAGGAGGAATGATTATTAAATGGAAGTTAAGTCTATAGAAAATATCTAGCATGAAGCTGTCTGGATGGATGAAAATATATATTTTCATTGACAATTCCTAATTTTTGGCTTTCCAGAAAAATCAAGATTTTTGTCAACATTGAATTTACATTTCTTATAGTTTCAGTGTGCCTGAGCTGATGGGTTGATGTTGTGCCCCGTATACAGGGATATGTCTTCCCAACTAGCCAGAGTCACTCCTTTCTATTGTCTTCTACCACTGAGGCTGAATATTAGTTGTCATGGTTTATATCATCCTTTCCCTGCTTCACACATTTACATTGTATGCTGGGCATGGTATGTATTTAAATTCATGATCCATGTTGAAGATGGTATAAAGATACCAAAAAATGTGAAAGAGACTTGGAACTGGGTAGCAGGCAGAGGTTGGAACCGTTTGGAGGGCTCAGAAGAAGACAGGAAGATGTGGGAAAGTTTGGAATTTCCTAGAGACTTGTTGAATGGCTTTAACTGAAATGCTGATAGTGATATGAACAATGAAGTCCAGGCTGAAGTGGTGTCAAATAGAGATGGGGAACTTGTTGGAAATTTGAATAAAGGTGACTCTTGTTTTGCTTTAGTAAAGAGATGGGCAGCCTTTTGCCCCAGCCCTAGAGATCTGTGGAACTTTGAACTTGAGAGACATGATTTAGGGTATCTAGTCGAAGAAAGTTCTAACCAACAAAGCATTCAAGAAGTGACTTGGGTCCTCTTAAAAGAATTTATTTTTATGCATTCACTAAGAGATGATTTGCAATTGGAACTTATGTTAAAAAGGGAAGCAGGGCATAACATTTTAGAAAATTTACAGCCTGATGATGCAATAGAAAAGAAAATTCCATTTTCTGAGGTGAAATTAAAGCTTTCTGCAGAAATTTGCCTAAGTAACAAGCAGCCAAATGTTAATCCCCAAGACAATGGGGAAAATGTTTCCAGGGCCTGTCAGAGGTCTTCATTGTAGCCCATCCCACCACAGGCCTGGAGACCTACGAGGAAAAAACAGTTTCTTGGGCTGGGCCCAGGGCCTTGCTGCTTTATTCAGCCTCAGGATTTGGTGCCTGTGTCCCAGCCATGGCTAAAGTGGCCATTGTACAGCTCAGGCTGTTGCTTCAGAGGGTGCAAGCCCAAAGCCTTGGCAGCTTACACGTGGTGTTGGACCTGTGGGTGCACAGAAGTCAAGAATTGAGGTTTGGGAACCTGTGCCTAGATTTCAGAGGATGTCTGGAAATGCCTGGATGTCCAGGCAGAAGTTTGCTGCAGGGATGGAGCCCCCACACAGAGTCCCCACTGGGGCATTGCCTAGTGGAGCTGTAAGAAGAGAGCCACCATCCTCCAAACCCTAGAATAGTAGATCCACTAATAGCTTGCACCTTGCACCTGGAAAAGCTGCAGATACTCAGTGCCAGCCTGTGAAAGCAACTGGGAAGGGGACTATGCCCTGCAAAGCCATAGGGACAGAACTATCCAAGACCATGGGAACCCACCTCTTGCATCAGCATGACCTAGATGTGAGACATGGAGTCAAAGGAGGTCATTTCAGAGCTTTAGGATTTGACTGCCTGGCTGGATTTTGGAGTTGCATGGGGCCTTGTAGCCGCTTAGTTTTGGCCAATTTCTCCCATTTGGGATGGGAGCATTTATCCAATGCCTGTATCCCCATTGTATCTTGGAACCAACTAACTTGTTTTTGATATTACAAGGCTCCTAGGTGGAAGAGACTTGACTTATCTCAGATGAGACTTTGGACCTGGAATTTTGGGCTAATGCTGGAATGAATTAAGACTTCGGGGAATTGTTGTGAAGGCATGATTGGTTTTGAAATTTGAAAGGGACATGAGATTTGGGAAGGGCCAGTGGTGAACTAATGTGGTTAGGCTTTGTGTCCCCACCAAATTTCATCTTGAATCATAATCCCCATAATCCCCAAGTGTCAAGGGAGACCAGGTGGAGGTAATCGAATTATGGGGGCAGTTTCCCCCTGCTGTTATCAGGATAGTGAGATCTCACGAGATCTGATGGTTTTATCAGGGCTCTTTCCCTTTTTGCTTTGCACTTCTGTTTCTTGCCACCATGTGAAGAAGGTGCCTTGCTTCCCCTTCCCCTTCTGTCATTTCCTGACACCTCCCCAGCCACGCTGAACTTTGGGTCAGTTAAACCTCATTCCTTTATAAATTAACAGTCTTGGGTAGTTCTTTATAGCAGTATGAAAACTAATACAATACAGTCTAGCAATAGAGTGGAGAACAACACAGTTACAAGCCCTGCTGTCAGGGAAAAGAAAACAATAATCACATAAATAATTAGAATTGTGATAAATACTCTGAAATAAAAGTAAAACATGCTAAGAAACCCATCATATTTTCTAGTTGGAAGGCAGAGATGTTTCCGCCCCTAAAAGGTTATTCAAGCCGAGTTCTGAAGATAATATGATTTACTCAGATGAAGGCATGGGTATATGTGTGTTGGTGGAGAATGGACGGAGAGAAATGATCTAACCTGGAAGAGTTGGTCAGGCCTGAGGAGTCAAAGCAAGCCAGTGGGGCTGAAAACAGTTATGAGCAGAAGCCGTGTTATATTGGTTGCTGAGTTTGGAAAAATACATAGGACGTTGGATGCCTTTGCAGACCAAGCAGCTAAGGACCAGCACATTTCATGGTGACTTGATGGTGTACAAATCTGGTCCCTCTGATGACTCTTCTAGTTGACATAATTTATCACTGCGAAACTAAGTCATGAATTAGATGACTAGCTGACGTTTAGCCAGGTAGACAAGCTATTGACTTGGTATGATGAAATATCACTGAGTTCATTTTTATGCCTTTGTTATCTCTGTCTCAGCTGCAAGTGTCCACTGCTTGGAAAAGTGTGGGAAGCTGACTTGGAAGCTTGTCGATTGCTTATCCAGAGCCTACAACTCCAGGAAGCCAGGGGCAGCCTGTCTGTAGAAGATGAAGGGCAGATGGATGACCTAGTGGGAGCTGTCTGTTCAGCGGCTCCTCCCATTCCCCCTAGGCTCCACTCCGAGGATGAGAGGAAGACCCCTTTGCAGGCACTGGAAGAATGGAAGACTCACCTGATCCCCTCTCTGCACTGGGCTGGAGGCGAACAGAAAGAGGTCTGTCCTTTCCACATGGCCTCCAGAGGGGACCCCTATTCTAAGGGGTGCTTTGGGACCATGCTCCAAATGGGAACAATAAATATTGGGAGGGCTTCCCATTGAGCCATATAAACTTTTAAAAGTTTCGCTAACTCTTGAATATGATTACAAAATAATGTAGAATTTTTGTAGAAGTTTGAAATACAGAAGAGCAAAAAATCCCAGCTTTTGGCATATTTAGTTCCATTTTCATTCTAATTTAGTGGCTAGAATTAGAATATGCAGTCTAATATAGAATTACCATATATAGCATACATTATATATGTCATATATATAACATAGTTATATACACTATAGATTATATATGCCATACATGACATTTAATATATATACTATAAATTATATATCATGTGCCATATATATTTAATTATATGTTTAGAATCTATATATTACAATATATTGTTACTGTATTTATTTGAATGAAACGTTCAAATATATGTATATATCCCATTAATTCTTTTTGCCAAAACCAGATCATAATGAATGCTTATAATGTTCTTCTTTCATATACACAACTAAAGTTTGGCCTGAGATCTATGTGTTACAAATTAAAATATTATTTTATTTAACTTTCTTTTTTTCTACCCTGTTTCCTCTCTCCCTTCTCCTTACTTTCGCCCTCCCACCCTAACAAGAGTCTTTTCCATAAAAAGCCCCTAGGAAGTTTTTCCTGATTTCAGTGCCATGACCTGAGGCTTCAGAGCTCTTTGTCAATCCAGGTTCCCAGGTGTTCTAAGTGTGAAAAGGGAAAAGCAAGTAGAGCCTAGAGGAACGTGACACATGGCCTTCAGGCCTGATGGTTGATGTTAGGTGTTAGCTGTGCCTCCTTTCTGGGTCTTTGCCAAGACTCACCACTGGTGGGTGGGGAAACTGCCACCTCCCCAGGCCAGCCCTGGCAGCCTCACATCCCACTACAGGACCATGGCCTTCACAGAGCAGACACTTGTGTTCTTAGTCACTGCCTCTGGACTGCTTGGAAAATTGATCCTTAATCCTGTATTTGGATTGCATGGTCTTATAAGATAGCAACCATTGCCACTCTGAATCCCTGCTGGCCCAGTCACAGGCACTACATTAACTTATAGACATCTGAACTCTTTTTTCAACCCGTACTGCAGGTGGAAACCTTCAGGAAAGCCTGGCCTCCAATGCTCTGAGGAGAGGTGTTGAAAACTTACCACCTGCTGCAGGTGGATGGCTTGAAAGAATATTCTGGGGTGGAGGGAATGCCACCTAAGCAAGGATTTCTTCCTGGGTGGAAAAAGCTGCAGGTTCTGGGAATGAGTCTTTGAAAGTGTGGCTGGCTTTCCAAAGTGAGCTCAGTCTGGGGCTGTGAGAAGTCAAGCCAGGTATGTGATGGAGTCCCTGGGTCATTGATTCTGCTGGAGGCCAGGACTGATTCAGCAGAGATCCCTTCCTCCTGGAGGGGAGAAAAAAAGTATCTTTTTAAAAATCCATCAAAAGGTTCACAGCTGAGGCACCTATACAGACAGAGTAACAAGAAAAAAATATACAAATTTGCTCAATATAAAATTTATATGACACAGGAGCCTTCAGAAATGAAAACCCAAAGCAATAGAAACCAGTGTATTTTTGTGCTTACATTTGGTGAATAGCAGGCAGATGTGGAGAAATGTAATTGGACAAAAGGTGTATGATCTAAATGGCAATAAACGGGGGGAAGCTTAGTAAGGCCTGCTTGTTCAGATTCTTCACTGCATCCCTGTGTCTTCAGAGATAAGGATATTCCTTTCCTTTGGGCATAGGGTGTACACTTTAAAGATGAGGGTGTTATAATCTACTTTAGAGGAAGGTCAGAGAATTATTTATGGCCTGCTTCAGGAGAGATTGGCTGCAGAAGGTCAGAGAGACTTTCCTGCTTCTGCTGTTCCTCAAATGCCAAGGTGCCATATTTTTGGGCACTGTGACCCATCACTCTTTCTACCTCTCTTTCTCCTTCTCTGCTTTACCAACTGAGCCCTAAGCCTTCCAGGCTGTCTGGGGACTGACTTTCCCAGGCGTAGGAGAATTAGTTTTCATCCATAAGATTATAAGCACCTGTCAATTTCACTATCTGGCTGTAAGAACACAAAGCTGTATTTGCTGAAAAATAGGAAGCTTAGGGTCAAGGATGAATAAAGAGTAGAGCCTTATCCTAGGTCCTATGATGGCTGCTGTTTGGGTGCTCCAGGGGTCCCCCAGAGAGCCTTCCAGATCCTCTCCACTAACTGAAATGCTGAGGATGTCCTATAGTTTATTTGTTGCTTTCTTGGGGGTGGGTGCATGCGTTAGAGGGGACTTTATAGCTTTTGCTGTCTTTTGGTATCATTTCCCTGTTCCTGTATCGCAGTGGTGGGTTTATATTTACAGAGAGAGCAGCCATTCTTTGAATTCATGAGTGTCATGGATTTTGAGATGATGTTTTCTGAAAAGTTCAAAATTATGGGTCCGGAAAAAAAGATCAGCTGTTTCCAGGAAAGGGGAAGGGACTCATTACAAGAGCAACAGGAAGGAATTTGGTGTATGGAAGTTGGGGGCGGGATGATCAAAGTATTCTCTTTCTCGATTGTGGTGGTAGTTTTGTGACTATGCATACGTCTAAATTCATAACTTCACACCAAAAGGAGTGAATTTTACTGTGTATGACTTTACAAAAAATATTAAAAAATTTTTTTAGACATCTACCCACTTAAAAACCAGACTGTAGATGTTTGAGTCAGTTGCCTTTGTCTCAGGACTATCAAAAGGCAGTTTGGCCTGCTGGAAGGAGCCCAAGGCTGGAGTCTGAGTTTGCTGTGATCTCCAATTAAGTTTCTTACAGGCCACGTCTCCTCATCTGTTAAGAAAAACGCCACCATCACAACGAGAGGATAATGAAAACTATCTCATGAAGCTGTGGTGAAGATTTAAATAAAAGGATACATCTCAAAATGAGAGACACGTACATAGTAGAGGCTAATTTGCATTAACTTTTGTTTCTGTCACTCTTTCTGGCAATCACAAACATCTAAAATGCTTTTTGAATACTATGCTAGAACATAGCGTACAAATGCTAGAACATTTGTATAAAATGCTAGAACAGCTATTTGTTTGGAAGAGGGTGTTACATGACTCAGTCTCCAGGCTTAACATTCCCTCTTGTATAAGGAGTTTGGGGGTGCTTGAGATTTTGAAATTTTCCTTTACATGTATAATATACTCTGATTTTTGTCAAGAAGCAAATGTGAGCAATGAGTTAGTGGAGGATATCTAGACAGAGAAAGGTTTAATGAAGCAAAACCTTCTTGTTTGTATTCGGGTCTAGGATTTTAGACTACTGAAGGTACAGGGGAATGATAACAAGGCTCTCATTAGGAAGGTGTTTTTGTTTTCCTGCCTGTCTTTTCCAAGGAGTCATTGAAGTCTGGGTACTTTGCCTTTATCCTGTGGCTAAAATGTCTATTAGCTTTGCAGCTCTGGGTTGGTTTTGCTTTGTAACTCCCTGCTGGGTCTGACCATCCTATACTGGTTTCTCTACTGAAGCTTGATGCCCTGAAGGCAGTCAATTTCTTTTTGACCCAAATCTTTCATGGAAAATTACTGACTTCTTACAGAGGTCCACAGGGAGGTGAGTTTTCAAAGCCTTTTCCATGAGTATCTGGCCAACGTGGTGATGTGCATTCTGGTGATACTTTGGTATCAGAAGGACTTTGTCATTAATTAACACCTTCCCTGTGTCTGTGGTCCTTGCTAGGCTGCTGAGCACCATTCCCCCATTTTACAGCTGGACGCATTAAGGCAAAGAAATTTGCTTTGGACTTTGTCACAGAGGAAGTCAGCAATGGGGCTCAGTGCCAATCTTAGCATGAATTTCCTCGAATTGTAAGAGCCCTTTTCTTTTCCAGTTTCATGACAGCTCTCCTCCAGGCCTTTTCAGGGACTCTGGAAACCATCAGCTGCCACTGGCCCTGGTTCATAAATGTTACAGAAATTGTATTTGGGCCAGACAGGAGCCAGGGAAATCGGTGAGCCAGGCTTCCTCCGCTGTGAAGTGGCTCTTTTGTACTGACTGTTCTGGCTATAATACCTGCGTGATTCTTTTCTTTCCTGTCTGTAACCCGGCCTGTGGGGTGTTTTCTGTTTCTACTACTGTTTCTACATAATGGGCTCCCTGGACGGTATCACTCCCCTAGACTTCTCATCCCAGCTGCTTCCTTTCTGAGCCAGTAGCTCCCACCAAAGAGGCCAAAAGAGGACCTGGCAATGTTGAGTCATCGCATGCAATATGTGAGTGCCAGTGTGTGAACACAGCTGCAATGAAAAGAATTAGCAATAAGACACAACCCAACTGTGTAGCCTCATTTGTTCAGATTTAGGTCTTCAAAAAGCGTTGTAAGTTTAGGGGTGGAAAGGTGTGATACCTTTCCTCAGCCATCACAAGGGCTAACGCTCCTGTAACAAAAACAAGTTAACATCAGAAAAACATAGCACATTTATTTAATCGGAGTTTTACGTGACACAGCAGGCTTCAGAAGTGAAGACCCAAAGACCCAGGGAAAACTATTTTTATGCTTAAGTTTAAATAGCTATGAAGGAAGGTGACCGGACAAAATGGGTACAATCTAACGGTTGTAGATTCGGGGGGTGAGCAGACCAGTAAGGCCTGTCTGTTCAGATTCTTCTTGGATGCTCTGTGTAGCATTTCTTCCCCTTGGGTATGGGGCAGGACTCCTCTGGACTGAGGGTCTTCAAGGGAGAAGGAAGAGAGTGACCTTTCTAGGTTTTATGGTTTCTTTAGGGGAGAGGAGTCCTAGTTTCTGTGATTGGCTTTGAGGAAGAGGAATTCTGGTTTCTATGGCTTGCATCCAGGGAGGAAAAAGGAGTGTGAGAGAGGAGGGCAGGAGAAGGTCAGAGAGACTTTGCTTCTGAGCCCTTCCAATCTCCTTTAGTTCAAAGTACTCAGCATGCCCGAGTGTCAC